CCTAAAAAGCCAGTAAACACCAATTATATAAGTACCTTTTTAAGCTACCTTGGAAAAATGCAGGTTCTTAGACGTGGGTTTTTACTGTATTTCACTCACATACCCAGGGGTGAATAATGACAAACTGTCATTATTACAGAGACTCCCCGACTTACGAACTTTCGATGATACGAACAATTTTCCCTGAAGTCCATTAGTGTATAATGTCAATATTGGTGAATAAAAAGACACAATCGCCCCCCTGATTTTGACTTTCGCCAACTCCTGTGTTCACGTATATGTTTACACTATGTAAACTTCTAGGTTACTCGATGTTCACACGTACATATACGACACTACTGTACAATACTGTATACGTACGTACATATGTTCGACTTACGAACAAATCGACTTACGAACGACCGCTAGGAACCGAACATGTTCGTAAGTCGGGGAGTCTCTGTATAGTTCCATAGATTCCGTTAGTGAAATTACACTTCCAATGTCCCATCGTTCATTGTATGCACGTCTGACATTAACACGAGTGCTCAGCTGAAAGTTCAAGCTTTAAGGAAAACTGAAAAAACAAATTCTCCAAAAACGTTTTATCCATTTACAAAAGTATGTTCACATCGAACAATATAGTAAAATAGGAAGTATAATGCAGCAATTTAACCATAAAAAGTGAACAGAATTACTTACCATTCGTGAAAAACTGGAAATGTTTTTTCCACTTTTACTATTTACGGTGACGTAATCACTTTAACAGGTGCTGCGAAAGTACCAGACACTGTGGGGGTTGGACAGGAAGCCTTCGCAGCGGCCGAAGCTCTATGTCGTTAACCTGCAGTGGACGCCGAAGGATGGCTCGTCAACTTTGAAGATCAACGGCAGGTGTGACGACGTGATGTCACGCGTCATGCGCTCGCTCGGTCTCACCGTGCCGCGCTACGACAGGTGAGATAACGATGTATAATAGGTGAGATAACGACGTATAATAGGTGAGATAACGACGTATGATAGGTGAGGTAACTCTCTCTCTCTCTTTCTCTCTCTCTCTCTCTCTCTCTCTCTCTCTCTCTCTCTCTCTCTCTCTCTCTCTC